AGAGAGAGAGGAACAGAAGATAGATTTAAGCAAATCCTAGCTGAGAACTTCCCTAACCTGGGGGATGAAACAAATATTTGTGTTCTAGAGGCAGAGAGAATACCCCCAAGATCAAGAAGAGCAGACTGACCCCCAGGCATGTAATAATGTAACTCATGAATCTTAAAGCCAGGGAAAACATCTTAAGGGCAGCTGGGGGAAGAGATTCCTTATGTACAGAGGGAGGAACATCAGAATAACATCAGACCTGTCCACAGAAACCTGGCAAGCCAGAAAGGGCTGGCAAGACATATTCAGAGTACTAAATGAGAAGAACATGCAGCCAAGAATATTTTATCTGACAAGGCTGTCATGTAGAATGGATGGAGATATAAAGGGCTTCCAAGACCAGCAAAAGCTGAAAGAATATGTCACCACTAAGAAATATTAAGGGTGGTTCTATAAAAGGAGAAAGACCCAAGAGTGATATAGAACAGAAATATACTGAGACAATCTATAGAAACAAGGACCTCACAGGCAGCATGATGACCATAAAAATCATATCTTTTAATAATCACTCTCAATGTGAATGACCTAAATACTCCCACAAAATAGCAGAGGGTTGCAGATTGGATAAAAAGACAGGACCCATCCATATGCTGTCTATAAGAAACTCATTTCGAACTTAAAGATACATCCAGGCTGAAAGTGAAGGGATTCAGAACCATCTTTCATGCCAATGGACTGCAAAAAAAGGCTGGGGTAGCAATTTTCATATCAGAAAAAATAGATTTTAAACTAAAGACTGTAGTCAGAGATACAGAAGGGCACCGTATCATTCTTAAAGGGTATATCCAACAAGAAGATCTAACAATTCCAAGTATCTATGCCCCCAACATGGAAGCAGACAATTACATAAGCCAACAGTTATCAAAATAAAGTGACACACTGATAATAATATGTTAATTGTAGGGGAAGTTAACACTCCACTCTCAGCAATAGGCAGATCATCTAATCAGAAAATCAACAACGAATCAAGAGCTTTGAATGACACACTGGACCACATGGACCTCATAGATATATACAGAACATTCTACCCTAGAACAACAGAATGCTCATTCTTCTCAAGGGCACATGGAACTTTCTCCAGAATAGACCACATACTGGGTGACAAATCGGGTCTCAACCAATACCAAAAGCCTGAGATTATTCCCCGCATATTCTCAGGCCACAGTGCTTTAAAACTGCAACTCAATCACAAGAAAAAGTTTGGAAGAAATTCAAACTCTGGGAAACTGAAGACCACCCTGCTCAAGAGTGTTTGGGTCAGCCAGGAAATGAAAGAAGATCTTAAACAATTCATGGAAACCAATAAGAACAAAAACACGTCAGTCCAAAAACCTACGGGATATAGCAAAATATCTTAAAGGGGAAATACATAGCCATCCAAGACTCACTCATTCAAAAAAAAAAAAAAAGAAAGAAAGAGAAAAGAAAAATTCTGAATGCACAACTCTCTTTACACATTGAAGAACTAGGGAATCAACAATAAATTAAGCCTAACCCATGCACTAGAAGGGAAATAATTAAGATTAGAGCAGAGATCAATGAATTAGAAACCAGAAATAGAGTAGAACACATCAATGAAACTAGAAGCTGGCTCTCTGAAAGAATTAATAAGATCAATAAACCACTGGTTAGATTTTTTCAAAAGAAAAGAGAAAGGACCCAAAGTAATAAAATTATGAACGAAAGGGGGAGATATCATGACTACCACCAAGGAAATAGAAACAATCATCAGAAATTATGATCAACAGCTATATGCCAATAAGTTAAGCGACCTAGAAGAAATGGATGAATTCCTGGAAACTATAAACTTCTAAGACTTAAACAAGAAGAAATTGACAACCTAACTAGACCAATAACGAGTAACAAGATTGAAGCAGTGATCAAAAAATCTCCCAAAAAACAAGAGTCCAGGACCTGCTGGATTCGCTGGGGAATTCTATCAAACATTCAAAGAAGAAATAATACCTATTCTCCTGAAGCTATTTCAAAAAATAGAAGGAGGGGTGCCTGGGTGGCTCAGTGGGTTAAGCCTCTGCCTTTGGCTCAGGTCGTGATCTCAGGGTCCTGGGATGGAGCCCCACATCAGCCTCTCTGCTCAGCAGGGAGCCTACTTCCTCCTCTCTGTCTCTGTCTCTCTGCATACTTGTGATCTCTATCTGTCAAATAAATAAATTAAATTAAATTAAAAAAAGGAGAAGGAAAACTTCCAGACTCTTTCTATGAGGCCAGCATTACCTTGATCCCAAAACTGGGCAAAGACCCCATCAAAGAGGAGAAACTTCAGATCTATATCCCGGATGAATATGGATGCCAAGATTCTCAATAAGATACTAGCTAATAGAATCCAACAGTACATTAAAAAGATTATCCAACACAACCAGGTAGAATTTATCCCTGGAATGCGAGGGTGGTTCAACATTTGCAAATCAATCAATCTGATAGAACAAATTAATAAGAGAGGAGAGAAGAACCACATGATCCTCTCAGTTGATGCAGGAAAAACATTTGACAAAATACAGCATCCTTTCCTGATTAAAACTCTTCAGAGTATATGGGTAGAGGGAACATTCCTCTATCTCTGTTCATAAAATCCATCTATGAAAAACCCACAGTGAATATCATTCTCAATGGGGAAAAGCTGAGAGCCTTTCCCTTAAGATCAGGAACATGACAAGGATGCCCAATCTTGGTACTATTGTTCAACATAGTACTAGAAATCCTAACAACAGTAATCAGACAACAAAAAGATATAAAATGTATCCAAATTGGCAAAGAAGTCAAACACTCTCTCTTTGCAGACAACATGATATTTTATGTGGAGAACCCAAAAGACTCCACCCCCAAATTATTGGACCTCATACAGCAATTCAGTAATGTGGCAGGATACAAAATTAATGCACAGAAATCAGTTGCTTTCTTATACACTAACAATGAAATTGTAGAAAGAGAAATTAGAGAATTGATTCCATTTATAATAGCACCAAAAACCATAAGATACCTTAGAATAAACCTAACCAAAGAGGTCAGATCAAAACCACATTGAGATACCGCCTTACACCAGTTAGAATGGCAAAAATTGACAAGGCAATAAACAACAAATGTTGGAGAGGATGTGGAGAAAGAGAAACCCTTGTGCAGTGTTGGTGGGAATGTAAGTTGATGCAGCCACTTCAGAAAAAAGTGTGGAGGTTCCTCAAAAAATTAAAAATAGAGCAACTCTATGACCCAGCAATTGCACTACTGGGTATTTACCCCAAAGATACAGATGTTGTGAAAAGAAGGGCCATAAACACCCCAATATTCAAAGCAGCAATGTCCACAATAGCTAAACTGTGGAAAGAGCAGAGATGTCCTTCAATAGACAAATGGATAAGGAAGATGTGGTCCATATACACAACGGAATACTACTCAGCCATCAGAAAGGATGAATAACCAATTTTTACATTAACATGGATGGGACTGGAGGAGATTACGCTGAGTGAAGTTAAGCAGAGAAAGCCAAATACCATATGGTTTCACTTGTGGAACATATGGAATAATGTGGAAGGAAGGTAAAAATAGGAATAGAAGAAGGAAGGTAAAAATGAAGGGGGGGAAATCAGAGGTGGAGATAATCCATGAGAGACTGGACTCCAAGAAACAAACTCGGTTTTAAGGAGGAGGGAGGGATGGGTTGGCCCTGTGACAGGTATTAAGGAGGGCACGTATTGCATGGAGCACTGGGTGTTATATGCAAACAATGAAACTTGGAACACATGACTAACATAACATAATAAAAAAATAATAAAAATAAGAAGTTAAAATTTGTGGATACTAAACACATGCTACTTTAATGTAGTTTTGTAGAACCAAGAGTATTCTTATTTTAGCATTATAGTCCTTTCATTTGCAACGGAAACCTGAGTAGAAAATAATTTCCAGAGCTAAGTGGCATGATGAGGACTGTGCAGACCCAGTGCAGGTCCTTTGGATGGGTCTTAGCTTGTGAAGAGCCATGCTGAGAAGTGCTCTTGTGGCCATACTGGTCACAGTGTTCCATGACACCAACTGCACTTCTGGGTGCCATTGCTAAGGCTTTGCTTCTGCCTCCAGTGGCTTTTCCACTTTCCTTACTTTCTCATCTACCAACCAGGAAGATCCTAACTCAAGTTACCTCTTCTCTAAAGGCTTTTCCATGCCTCCACAGGAGCTGTCACTTCCTGTCTCTGCTTGCTTTATGAATACTGTTCTTATCATTCTCATTCATTCAACACACATCTGGATGCTAGAGTGATCACATCATCTCATAATCAGATTCTGTGTCAGTCATTAGGCAGGATGCTGACTTTTCATAGGAGGAACATTTCTGAATTTTCTTTGTACTCCCAGAGCTTAGTACAGAGGTAAGCACAGAGTAGACAATCCATATATGTTGGCTAATTGTGAACTAAGAAATTGAAAATAAAGATCAGAGTGTCATGGACCATGAGAATCACATCAGAAGACTACAGAGGAGTCTGATGAGAGGAACAGGAAGGAAAAGGAGAAGAAGAACTGGAGAGTCTACTGCAAATCTCCAAAAGCACATGGACTTTGGAGCCAAAGAACAAATTGTTCAATTGTTCTGGCAGAAAGTGCCAGCACCCATTTTCCAGTAGATGTGGGCACCAGGATCCTTTGTCTCCAGTGCTTTTCCCATTTGCTATCACATCCTAATCTTTGGATTCCATCAGCAAAGTCACTAATAACTCCTTGACTACAGAGTGTATATTAAAGGCCATAATTCTTGCCAGGAGGAAAAACAAACAGAATCCATAGATGTGTAGGGGCACAGGTTGGTACAAGGCTAAAAAGACCATGTGCCTACAGGTGAAAAGTGCAGGGAGATCAGAGTATAAAAGAGAGACCCAATCTCTCTCTGTGTGTCCCAACCCTTGAGTGCACCACTGTGTCTTGTTGTGTGTGTAGGCCACCAAAATCAGCACCATGAAGATCCTGGTCTTGGTCTTGATTTGTCTACACCTCTCAGAGGGTGTGGAAAGGTATGTATGAGGATTTAGCTGCAGATCTTTTTGTGTCTTGGTACCATTAACTGAAAACCCAGGGAACCATGACTTAAAATGGATATATGGATGGATAAATGGATAGATGGGTGGATGGATGGATGGATGCATGCATGCATGCATGCATGAATGTGGTGTGTGTGTGTGTGTGTGTGTGTGTGTGTGTGTGTGTGTAAGGGTAGATTGGTGCTGTGTTGGCTAAGAAAGAGGGAAACAGGATTCGTGTCCCAAGTTTATAGGAGGGACTTCAGATAAACAGAAATTTATTCTGTGGAAACAATATGTAAGTAGAAAAACCCAAATATATGTTGCAGTGGATTTTCAGAGTGCTAAGGAGATTTGAAAACTCCAGACCAGATCATTGAAGGAATTGCTTTAATGGAGAACGTGAAGCTCACTCCTTTTGTTTGCCCTAATCTCTGCAGAATCATTCTGAAGAAAGGCAAGTCCATCTGCCAGGTGATGAAAGAGCGGGGTGTACTAGACACATTCCTGAAGAACCACCCAAAGGTCGACCCAGGTGCCAAGTATCTTTACAATACTGATGCTGTTGCTTATGAGCCCTTCACCAATTACCTGAATGTAAGTGAAGGGGGAGGTGGTGTCCATATCCCTTGGCTAAGAACCATTCTTGGATACTTATTTAGACCTCTCATCTGCCCTGATTTTGGACTTTTTACTAAACCTAAGTCTCACCTTCTATGGAAAGTATCTGGGTAAGTTATGAGTTGGTACCCCTTAAAACTGCAGTATTCCCTTTCCTTCCTTCTTTCTTCCCATTACTGGCTCACTCTCTAAAGCTCCATTTATATGGTGATGAGATTCACAGTGACCATATTGAAGTCAATTGAGAGAGCCAAAGGAAGTCCCAGGGATGGGCTGCAGGGGAAAGAAGGAAAGCACATACAAAGCTGCCAGGCAAATCTCCAGTGGCTCCAGATACCATATATCTCCCCATTTGGAAACATACACTGGTACTCAGAGCAAGTGTTTGAGTGTTCTCGAGGCTGCAGTGTCTGCTCAGGGCATCTCAACACACTGGTGTCCTATGGCCTGTGCTTAGTGAGATGTTACATGAGTGTCAGATCTAGAAGCCACCCTACATATCTATTTCGACTTTCACTTTCTGTAGCTGGTGGAAGAAGAGGCAGGTAAGTGACATAACTGGCCTGAATTCACTTAGAACTTAAACTTAAAACTAATTCACTTAAAACTTAAACTGTCTCAGTGAAGTTCTCTTGCTTTCCATGCTACCTCTCATTCTAAACTTCCTGGTGTCTTAGCTCCTGTGTGACCAGAGTGAAGAGAATGGTGGAGAAATATCTAACACTGGACAAGAAAGAAGCGCGCGCGCGCGTGTGTGTGTGTGTGTGTGTGTGTGTGAGAGAGAGAGAGAGAGCGAGAGCGAGAGAGAGAGTGAGAGAGAGAGATGTGGGGAGGGAGGATGGACACTGGAAATGGAGAAAAAGTGATTAGTTCTCCAACTTTGCATGTTCTGGCATAGAATGGTAAATCCATGGAGTTATCACCTGATACAAAGTAGAAAATGATTTTGGAAGAAGAGATTGGCTTGCCAGATTAATTCTCACCCAGTCAAAGTCTTGCAATTGGGGATGAAAATGGGGAATATTGAGAGAAATATGGCTCCAGATGGGAAAAAGAGCCCATTGGAGGAGAAGCTACTTATACCCCAAGAAAATGATTTTGCCAAAATGTGGTTTCTAGTGAGTCAGCTTCTTCCCCATCCTTAGGACAAAATTTGTCTGCTTAATGAGAATGAAAAACTTTTCTTTGCAGTCTTATTACTTTGGAGAGATCAGCATTGGGACACCACCACAAAATTTCCTGGTCCTCTTTGACACAGGCTCCTCCAACCTGTGGGTGCCCTCTACCTACTGCCAGAGCCAGGCCTGCTGTGAGTATACCACCATTACCACCCACCCATGGAGAGGAGCAGAGGGCAGGGCAGAGTCAGGACTGAGCACAATCTCAGCATCCAATTCCAGAGTTCTTGGTGCATACCCATGATCTCAGCCTCCTTAAATTCAGACCATCTGGAAATCTTTACTCTGGTCTACATTTCACTGGTGCTACAGTTCTGGAGAGAGATAGCAGAAATAGACCAAGGCTTCCATTCTTTTCTACATTGTTCCCTTTCCTCAGCTCTCTCCTGTAGGCCCCAATTCCTGGAGGGGATTGAGCCATCCCTCAGGAAAAGGAAGGAAGGGATGACATCTTTTTCCTAAGGGGTCAGACTTTTCTGTGGCTACAGATTATCTTTAGCAAAAGGATCTGAGACTGAAGCCCAATCCCAGGCTTCGTCTGATGGTCTCAGACCATCAAGGATAAGTGTCCTCCAAGTATTTTGGAAAATGTATTGACCTTAACATTCCATTCTATCCTTGCATAGCCAATCACAACACGTTCAATCCTAGCAGTTCCTCTACCTACAGAAACAATGGGCAAACTTATACACTCTGTTATGGAAGTGGCAGCCTGACTGTGCTCCTGGGATATGACACTGTGAATGTAAGTGCTGTTCTCAATTCTTCTGTGGGTCTGCTCTTTGGCGCCCCTTTTTCAGAGCATAAAGCACTCAGAGAGACCCATGATTACTAAATAGGTACAAATTCCTGGAAACTGATGTTTGGAAAGGATGCTAAAGGCCATTTAATCAAAACGTTTCTCCCAAGACAGGAATTGCTTCCCCAGCAGTCCTGACTGCAGGGAGCTCTTTACATTGTGCCTCCCCTGACTTTGCTCCCTGGTTTTAAGCTGCCTCTGCAACCACATGGAGCACATCTGCTTCCTTCTCCACATGATTTTACTGTAGGTATTTGAAGACCTTCCTTTCACTATTTTCTTTTCTTTACATCAAGCACCCACATTTCCTATGTCATTTGTGCACACAGATTATTCAAAATAAAATCATCCACTGTCCTTTCACTGTCCATGGAAGTGGACACTCTAACTCCAGAACGCAATGGCCTCTGCTTCCCCAACACCCACACTCTTCTTTCCAAGCCATATATGGTTGGGTGATGTTGAATCCCTTCATCTTCCAGACCCCACCCATGGTTGAACTAAGCATGAAAGAAGACAACTCCGCTAGAAAAGTGTACATTCTATTACCTGGGCACCCAAGTCTGGGAAGACTTTGTCCACCCGAGTTGTTAATCTTTTCTTTCTGCTTGTCCCAGGTTCAGAACATCGTCATCAAGAACCAGCTATTTGGTCTGAGTGAGATTGAACCCAGCAACCCCTTCTATTATGCAAACTTTGATGGTATCCTCGGAATGGCCTACCCCGACCTGGCAGTGGGGAATAGCCCAACAGTCATGGAGAGCATGCTTCAGCAAGGCCAGCTCACCCAGCCCATCTTCAGCTTCTACTTCTCTCGGTGAGCACCCTTGCCCTGGGTAGGTCTCAGCAAATGAAGCAATGTAGGAGCTTTCAGCAAGTCAATATCAGACAAGGCCAAGATTTTAACATATCTTGACACAAGATGTTCACACATTTCTGAAAATCCATAATTACATTTTTGTGGGAATTTTATTTTAATGCGCTAGGGGAGTTTTTTCCTTAAGAATTTGTTTATTTATTTGAGAGAGAGATAGAGAGACAGAGAGAGGGTATGAGCAGGGAGGAGGATCAGAGGGAGAGGGAGAAGCAGATCCCCTACTGAGCAGGGAGGCCCGATGCAGGGCTGGACCTCATGACCTGAGATCATGACCTGAGCCAAAGATACACACCTAACCCACTGAGCCACCCAGGTGCCCCTGCACTAGAAGAATATTAATTTAGGTCACAGCTATAGGATGACCCTTTCCTTAAATGAACTACAGTCCTCTAAGATATAATTAGTAAATGTGGACATTGTTGCATTAGATTTGCATAGCTGTAGAGCTTTAGAACAAGCCACATGATTACTTACTAATACAGTCAAATCAAATTTATAATAAAGATAATTACAATAAATGATATTTGTAATAACATCTTTGGCTCTACAAAGAGTACTTGTAGTTATTACTTCACATGACATCTCAAAAATCTTTTCATTAACCCAATTTTTCCACTGAGGAAATGCAGGCTTAAACAGGTGGTCAATACTGAGCAAAGTCTGATAGGCATGAAGCCATGACTCAAACACAAGTATCTTGGTCACAGATCCAGTACATTTCCTACTCTACTGGCTTTGAACTTTCATGGAAAAGTTTACTTACTGGGCCAGGGTAGGGAACAGAAGAGGCCTGAATCCCCTAACACTGTCTAGTTACCAACTTGAGCATGACAAAAGCATCCCCCTCCCTGAACACAGGAGATCTCACTCTGTCAGACCCCATTCTAGGTACCCCTGAGGTGTTTCTTCTTGTTCTGACTTTGTCTCTAGGAGGGTTTCCCTGGGATGCCTTTGTAGTCTCTTTTCAGAGGCATGGTTTCAATTATGTCTCCTCTTTTATGGACAAGGTCTGTGTTTCCAATTCTCTGCTCTTGAGAGTTCCTCTGAGAAGTCTCCTCTCCCTTGTGCCTTGAACCTGGTGGAGTCTAAAGAGCAGACCAGAAGATAAGACCCCTCGTCCTGTGGTTCCTGTGTGTCTGAAGAGAGGGATGTTGAGAGGGGAGGAAGGAGATGCCTGATCATGTGTATTGTAGGAATTCATGCTTCTCTCCCTTTCTCCACAGCCAACCAACCTATGAGTATGGTGGGGAGCTCATCCTGGGAGGTTCAAACTCCCAATTTTATTCTGGTGAGATTGTCTGGGCTCCAGTCACTCGGGAATTGTACTGGCAGGTTGACATTGATGAGTAAGTACAGGGGGAAATTCCTATGGATTATGGACACCTCTAGGATGTTCCTCCAGTGTGGCAATATTTCCTGTTCTTGCATTGGCACACACTTCTGAAAGAATCAGCAAACCCTCAGGCTGATTGTTCCTGGAGCTCAGTAGACTCTGGCATCTAGCTCTTGAATGAACTTTCTGACTTATCACTGAGCCTTATCATGTCAGCAGGTTGGTTATTCGTTGGCTTCTGTGAATCCATGTCTTTGTTCCTGGAAGCTTCATTGTCCCAAGTAGCTCAATCTTTAACAAATCCTTCATCAGTAAAAGTAACAGCTATCACTGATATTTTCTATGTGCCAGATACTGTGCTAAATATTTTATATGTATTATTGTATGTATATTCCACTAAACACTGTAAAATGCTCAGTAGTGTATTTCATTGTGCAGATAGAGAAATCAAGGCTCAGAGATTCAGTAACGATTCCAAAGTCACACATTTCACAAATTTCAAAATTCTAGTCCAAGCATATCTTCTCCCAGAGCTCAGGACCATGAATCAGTTACTTTTACACTCCAAGCCTTCAGGAAATCTCCGTCACCACCGATTAAAGATACACTTCTTTGGCCTTTATTCAAGACCATATGACCACTTATCAGTTGACATCGCACATGATTGTGGCAGAGGAACTTGATTCTCTTCTACTGGTGTTTTCCTCAGGTTTCTTGTCGGTAACCAAGCCACTGGCTTGTGCTCCCAAGGCTGCCAGGCCATTGTGGACACAGGGACCTATGTGCTAGCTGTTCCCCAGCAGTTCATAGGCTCCTTCTTGAAGGAAACTGGAGCTCTGGAGGCTCAGAATGGTGATGTGAGTAACCAGAAGCCAAGGGTTTCTCTGTATATCCACACAACCTCAGCACAAGAGGAGGTGTATTGTGGGGGGAACTGAGCCCTCGTGGGTCAGATCAGGTGGGTACACATCATGACCTTTCAGTCAAGGAGGGGTAAGCAGGGGGAAAATACCAACCCCAACTGTGAGTATGGGCCGAATGGTTGTCAGGAGGGGTGGCTGTTCCATTGCAGGCCCGAGGAACACCTCTCACCTTGGCGTGGCCACTGTCATTTGACTGTACACAACAGAGTCAGGCATATTGTACTTCTCCAGTCCACTTGGGTTTCCTTCTTCCCTAGGAATACTCCTTTGGCTTTTACTCTGAGCAACCTCCTGTGCCCAAACCTGTTCCCTTAAATATGCTTCTGTAGTTTGCTCCTCCTGCATGCAAGAGTCTAGTTAATCGGACGAAATCTTGGACCTCAGGGTGTGTGTGTGTGTGTGTGTGTGTGTGTGTGTGTGTGAGTGATTTGAGCACATGGATAGGTGCACACTACTGTGGATATGAATTGTGTGAGAGCGTGTTTCACACTGAATGTGCCCAGGCTTCTTCTCTGTAAGTGGGACTTTCTGGCAATAGAAATCTGTGTTCTGGAATGAGCCTGACTCCTTATGGCCATATCAGTACAACCAAAATCTCAGAGCTGAGATGTGTCCAAGGAGGCCCAGGAAAGCAAAAGCTTCTGGTCAGTCTTGTACCTGGGAATCAGGCTTTGCCTTCCATGCTCTCAACCAATCTCGCTGGCAGGTCAGGAAGAGAGTCTCACAGGGAATGGGAGACTTGGGCCCTTTTTCTGGGCCCCCAGCCTCCTGGCACTCTACAGCTCTGCTTCTCCTCTCTCTCAGCTTGTGGTCAACTGCAACTCCATACAGAGCTTGCCCACCATCACCTTCGTCATCAGTGGGACCCCATTACCTCTGCCTCCTTCTACTTATGTCCTCAATGTATGTATGCACCCCAGGCTCCAGGGAAATGGGATTGGATGGGTCTAAACAGCTGTTCCATGTCCCAGCTCACATCTGAGCACCTATGGAGAGTCACCAGTGATAGGGCTGAGGGTGAACAAGAAGCCAGGGACCCCACAGGTGTTGTGGAATATAGGGTGGGAGGTACCTGTGGGGAAAGGCCTCTCCATGCACCTGGTTATATCCTTATGTCCTTGGTCTCTGCAGGACAATGGCTACTGCACCCTTGGGATTGAAGTCACTTACCTGCCCTCCTCCAATGGACAGCCCCTGTGGATTCTGGGAGATGTCTTCCTCAGGGAATATTATACTGTCTTCGACTTGGCTGTCAACAGGGTGGGTTTTGCCCTTTCTAAGTAGACTAGCAAGAGGCAGCTGTTTCCTCCCTCCCAGCAAGACTCTGGGATTGCCCCATTGTCTCTCTGGGCTGACAGCAGCATTTTATTAGACTAGTTTGATCCCTCTGTGCACTAGAATCATACTCCCTCAAGTAATAAACTAAGAATCTCTAAACATCTTTACTGATCCTTCTAGATGTCTTCTTTGTATTCTGCTTGTATTAAATAATCCAGTCAAAAAATGGGCAGAAGACATGAGCTGACACTTCTCCAAAGAAGACATACAAAGGGCTAACAGACACCTGAAAAAACTGTTCAACATCACTGACCACCAGGGAAATACAAATCAAAACCACAGTGAGATACCACCTTACACCAGTTAGATAGAATGGCAAAAATTAACAAGACACAACAAATGTTGGTGAGGGTGTGGAGAAAGGGTTCCCCTTTTACACTGTTGGTGGGAAAGCAAGCTGGTGCAGCCACTCTGGAAAACAGTGTGGAGGTTCCTCAAGACGTTAAAAAATAGAGCTACCCTATGACCCAGCAATTGAACTACTGGGTATTTACCCCAAAGATACAGATGTAGTGAAAAGAAGGAGCATATGCGCCCCAACATTCATAGCAGCAAATGTCCACAATAGCCAAACTGTGGAAGGAGCCGAGATGCCCTTCAACAGATGAATGGATAAAGACGATATGGTTCATATATACAATGAAATATTCCTCAGCCATCAGAAAGGATGAATGCCCACCACTTGCATCAGTGTGGATGGAACTGGAGGGGGTTATACGTAGGGAAATGCATCAACCAGAAGAAGACAATTATCATATGGTTTCACTTATATGTGGAATATATGAAATATCATGGAGGATCATAGGGGAAGGGAGGGAAAATTGAAGGGGGAGAAATCAGAGGGGGAGACAAACTATGAGACTATGCACTGGGGGAAACAAACTGATGGTTTCAGAGGTGGGGGTGGCTGGGTGATGGGCATTAAGGAGGGCACGTATTGTGATGAGCACTGGGTGTTCTATGCAACTAATTAATCATTGAACACTACATAAAAACTAACGATGTGGCTAAATGAACATTAAAAAAAGGTTTATTCTAAACTGAAAGTTAGCAACAATTCTTTGGGGGAATCTGTGACTTGATCAACGGGTGAGAACACAGGGCAGAGCTCCCTGAGTGAGGACCCACAGCGCAGAGATTAAGGACACAGTAGCTCCTACATTCTGGTGGAGGTGACCAGCCCTCTCAGCACTATTCCTTCTAACACATTCTTCTCTCCATTCTTGAAAGTTAGAGAAGAAAGAGAAACCTTAGAGAACATTTCAAACTGGTGGTCTGAGGCCAGCTCAGATGACAAAATGGTGGTTCTTTTTGAGACAGCATCACAGTTTTAATGAATTTTTTTCATTAAATGGGGTATTTTCACAGACCCCTTTCCTCCCTACTCACTATGGGAGCTCTCAGCCTGCTCACATATGAGTTTATCTGCCTGGGGCTTAAAGCTTTTGAGTTTTGAAACCCAATCTCATTTTACAGTGGAAGAAAGTGAGGTGTGGGGAGCCTGGGTGGCTCAGTGGGTTAGGCCTCTGCCTTCGGCTCAGGTCATGATCTCAGGGTCCTGGGATCAAATCCCGCATCGGGCTCTCTGCTTGGCAGGGAGCCCGCTTCCTCCCCTCTCTCTCTGCCTGCCTCTCTGCCTACTTGTGCTCTCTCTCTCTGTCAAATAAATAAATAAAATCTTAAAAAAAAAAAAGAAAGTGAGGTGTGGATGGGTAATCATACAATTACTGTTAAAATCAGATCCAGATCAATGTATTAATTTTTTTTGTCGTGTTGCTATATGATAAGGTCTGCTCTGTGAATGGCACAGAGGCACGTGATGACAAATAAGACATGGCATTGGCTCACTAGGAATTTTCTATCAGCCTATTGCTCTTGAGCATGTTTCCTGTCTGAAGCAAGCCCAGTGCCTGAACTTGCAATCCACAGTAGGTTATGAACAATCATAGGCAGTGGGTTCTTCTAATGCAGTAATGCCACCTTTAGGGAGGTAAAAACTGGTACTGCTCTGGGACCCAAAATTCTTGCAAGAAATGTAATTAGAAGGATGTACCTGGGAAGAAAGATGCAAAGAATTCTCCATCTAGATGTGTGGGAGTGATAGTGGTGAATGGAGGAGTACATTTTCCTTCATCATTGCATCATTCCCCTCCACCAACACACAATGGAATTGATCTTATGGAGTTGGGTAATGTCTGAACTCTGGCCATTCCTTTCTCTTTCTTTTGTGTTTCTCTCGTGGGAAACACAGCCTTTTCTGTCAAAGGGAAGGGAGCTCAGCTCAGCCCCAATTCACCTGCGTCCTCATTCCTACCCCTTCAGCCACGGTTCCTGCCTCGGTATCACCTCTATTCATGCTCTGGTGGTGGTTGGCCTCAATTATATCTCTATCTCAAGATAGAGATATAATTTCTAGAAAGTTCTCAGCACCAAGATACACCAAATTCAGGTTATCATGAGTAATCTAAAATTCATGAGCGGGGACTAAATGCAGCCACAGGAACAACATATGGTATTGGTAAGGCCAGAGCTAGCAATTCTGTCTGCTCCTGGATTCTAGAAAATAACACCCAACAGAAGCTGTCCACAGCTTATGGTCTGTTCCGCCTTGTCTATCATTGTAGGACAGGGACAAGATTTATTAATATGGGAGTGTTCCCCACCTTGCAATATGTTATTCTGTCCCCACCACACTAGTAAAGATCTTGCCTGTCTGATTCTTGTGTCTTATGTGGTAGAAACTGAAGGTCTGTCGACAGAAACACACACACACACACACACACACACACACACAGGCACGTACGCGCAGAGGAAGAAGATGCTAGTGGGTCAAAAAATGTAAAAGGAACGAGGAGCAAATGAAATTTTAAAAAGTTGGAAGGTAACAGGGAAGAGAGAAGGGGAAGAAACTATGGATGGGAGAGGTGAAAATAGAGATTTGGAACTTGGAGTTTCTTGGGAGCAATGTTCCACAGCAACATCTTGGAGGAGAACATAGGATAAAGATTTTGAGAAATGTTCCGTATGCTTACAAATCAGAGACTTTTTGATGTTCTGTAAGAGATATAAACATCGGAATTTCTCTTTGTTTTGGGCAGCTGTAACATGGTTTTTAAACATGAATTCATGCAGAAAGTGGCCACATTGAACCCAGTCTGTATCTGGGTTCTACTTGTAAAACATGTTTTGAGTTTTCTTTCCATTTACTACTTGTGCCATCATCACTAATGAAGTACCGTTAATTAGTAAAATCTCCCCTGATCCCTGAATCTTTCTTCGTGTCCTCTGCCTACCTTCCCACTCCATATGAGAAGTCATTACTCCTCCTTCCCTCCCCCCACAGCATTCTGTACCTCTGACAGTTCACTACACATCGTATAGTATTGTATCCATGGCACGTCTGTCTCCGAACTCAGTTATGATCAAGAGAAAGGAGATTGTTAAAAGAGCTACCCTATGACCCTGCAATTGCACTACTGGTTATTTACCCCAAAGATACAGATGTAGTGAAAAGAAGGGCCATCTGTACCCCAATGTTCATAGCAGCAATGGCCCCGGTCACCAAACTGTGGAAAAAGCCAAGATGCCCTTCAACAGAAGAATGGATAAATAAGATATGGTTCATATATACAATGGAATATTATGCCTCCATCAGACAGGATGAATACCCAATTTTTGTATCAAAATGGACGGGACTGAAGGAGATTATGCTGAGTGAAATAAGTCAAGCAGAGAGTGTCAATTATCATATGGTCTCATTTACTTGTAGAGCATAAGAAATAACATGGAGGACATTGGGAGAAGGAGAGGAGAAAGGAGTTGGGGGAAATTGGAGGGCGAGATGAGCCATGAGAGACTGTGGACTCTGAGAAACAAACTGAAGGTTTTGGAGGGGAGAGGGGTGGAGGGTTGGGTGAAGCTGGTGGTGGGTATTAAGGAGGGCACGTATTGCAAGGAGCACTAGGTGTGATATGAATGAAAAAATGAATCTTGGAACACTGAAAAAAATAAAATAAAGTTCAAATTTAAAAAAAAAGAGGTTGTTCATTTTTCTCTTTACGTCCCCAGATCTGACATGTCTTGTGATAACAAGTCCTTAGCAATGCCTGCTATACAGCCAAATTCACGGTAATACAAGTGACATAGAGACTGTTACAGGGAAAGGTGCTTGAGAGCAGCAGGCAAGAGGAAGGTATCACAAAGGAAACCCTGTTAGATTTCACCCTGAAGCATGTGTAGGAACTCACTGGGTAGAGAAAGTTAGAAAAGGGATCTCATGCAGAAACTGGCCTAAGGACAAGCACAGAGGCTGGAGAGAGTTTGTGTGATTGTAGAGCAGCAGGAAATGCCAACAGGTGGACACAAGGTACCTGGAGGGGATAGCAGGAGAGGAGGCAGCCAAGGTGGGCTGCGGTCAGATGGGCAGGACCTTGCGAAATGTCCAGATTTGATTCTTCTGTCAAGGGGACCCATATGGGTTTTTGTGGAAGAGAGACCAATGATCAAATATTTGAGGAAGAGGGCTCTGCTGGCAGGCTCCTCTGCTGTTCTCTAGCCTTCAACTGGGGTCCTCCACGTTTTAGCTTGCGTGGAGACTCAATTTCAGATAGAGGCATATCCTTTTTTCCTGGTAGAGCTGTAGAACTCTGTCCATTTTCCTGGGCTCATAGTCATGGCTAAAAGACCTAAACAGAATGAAAGACCCCTTTGTATCTCACCCCTAAATCCAGAATTTAGAGCCAACCAGTAGTGATGAGGTCTTGGCTTCCCCATTTCTTAGTTCCACTTTGACCCAGCTTTTACTATGCAAACGTCACCAGAAATCTCAAAATCTGCTTTTTGGCCATGATGGTAGGAGTTTGAGGCCTGCTTCCATGTGTCATTCGCCATCAAAGCCATGTGCAGAAGAATACTATCTTGTTGAGAAGATTTGATGTGTCATGAGTTCTCTGAACTTGGCCACAGCAAGTGGGGGCTCTGCCAAGAAAATAGACTGGGCGGTTGGTCGGGGGTGGGGCTCAGGAATGAACAAATGTAGACCCGGAAGCAGGCTTTAGGCTGGATTTCTGGTACTCTGCCTTCTGCAGCTCTTCCCCTTTCACAGAGACACTAGGGTCCCTCTAGACTCAGATCTTACGTAGAGGGCCTGGGGCCCCAGGCTTTGTGCTGGATGGCAGCCGAGATGGGATGGTGCTGCTTTGAGCTGCTAAATCACACAGACCCTAGCTGTTTTGTCTCTCCAGCAAGGAGCAGGGAGCAGAGATCCAGCCCCCAGCTTCAATGGGCCAAGGCTCAGTTTGGATTTTTCCATGCCATTTCTCTCTTGTCCTGGCTTGTCCCCTGACACCCCCCACCCACACACACACAGGCCTTTAGACCTCTGGTTTTTCACACTGTTGCTTTCTCTCCCTTTTCCATGTGCTCACGGTCCAGAATATAAAAGTGAGGCTCCCTGTGGTTTGCTAGAAAGTGCTAAAGGAACCACATAGAGCATTTCTAGGGCCTAGAGTGTGTGTTCCAGCAAGTCAGACAGTCCCGGAATTTGTCTACAGCAGGTCATTGCTTCTGTTGCTTCCAGACCAGGAGATGAGGTTATTTTGATTCCTGCTATACTCCCAGTCCTTGCCACACTTCCTGACAGATGGTAGGAACTCAGTTAAACATGATGACTGACAAATGACATAGATGAGGTAATGGGAAGTGGGGAATTTCTGATCCAGTGAGTTTAATATCAGTCTGGGAAAGGGAACAAATTCTTGACCTGCCCATTGCATGTCAGAAACTCAGAAATCTGGACAGTTTTCTTAAAAATAAATGTTTACCCTGCCTGTCAGTACCCTCTGAGTGTAGCAAGCCCATGAATAAGTCCAAGGTGGCCATCTAAACCAATCCAAAGTGACCATCCAGTCAATGGTGAGGCCAACAGCCCCTGTCCCCAGGGCTCGTGGTAGAACACATAAGACTGGGAATTAGAGCGTGAAGACAGAGACCCATGAGTATTTCAGTAAAATGGAGCCACCACATTGAACATTGGGCAGGACCCCCCCCCAGGCCCATCTACATATGTACATGACAAACCAGCACATGGACACAGAACGCTCTGATGTAATCTTTCTGTTCTCACATAGGAGTTGGGAGCCCCTTCCCTCCCTGGGTCCCATGCTGGCAGACAGCGAGCACAGCAGTACAGGGGGGAAGAGCAGCCCTGTCCTCAGTCCTAGATCCGTGGTCAGGAGGGGCACGTGAAGGTAGTCACAGCACCTCAATTGTAAAACAGGCTTAGGTAGGCCACACGGTTCCGGTGCTTTCTGAAGTCCTTGTCGGTGGACAACTGCAATGAAGGAATATTGTCTGGGTCAATATTCTGATGCGATCCCGCTGCCTCTGGTCTTCCTGACTTGCAAAATAGAAGTGCACATCACAGCTGAAGCGCACCCCATGGGAACCAAGTCTTAGGATTCTGTCAATGTACAGCTGCTCTCTGTCATCTCCCTGTGCGGTCATGCTAGGACTTGGTAAGTCTTCAAGTATTCCTGGTAAGCTTCTCAAAAACAAAGATATGCATTTGATTCCTGAATGTTACTCATCTAATGTGATGATGTTGATACATTAGGCATTTAACAAATAGTTGTGGAATTAACCCAAATTTCCTCTTAAAAAATAGCACCTCTGAAATTATGATAGCTCACATGGGTTGAACATTTATTACGTTATAAGTACTATGTTAAATGCTTTTCTACATTAGCTTGATCTTTAAAGCCTTATCAAATTGATTCTATTATAATATCCATTTTTAAAGAAGGAAAACTGCGGCTTAGAAAACTTGCCTGAGATCACGCAGTCAGCAATATGGGAGCTAGTATTTGAACCCAGGCAGTCTGTCCCCTGAATCCATCTTCTTACCAGAATGCTCTACAGCCCCCTCATGATCTGATACTCTAGTGGTATATGGAAAGAGCACTGGCTTAGGAGTCACAAGATCTAGATTCAAGTTGTCAGCTTGCACAGGTCACTTAATCGATCAGAGTCTGATTTCTCTCCTCCGTCACCAAGATATAATTGTCCTGTTCCTGTACCAGAACATTATTTGAGGATTAAGTAACAAAAAGCGACTTTCGTCGTTCATAGCCACCTATAAAAATCTAATGAAACTGGGCAACTCTCCAAAAGGATTCTCATATGCATATCTGCACAAAACTGCACAAACATATACTGTCAGGGGAGCAAGGACTTCCTGCAGCTCTTTCTGGATAAGAAGCCCTGATACATATGAAAGTACCAGAGAGAGGGCTCTACATAAATTCAAGTCTTCTTACCTCAGCTTTTAGGGTTCTTTTCTGTAGACATGGAACCTGAGCCCAGTCTGGAGATCCAAATTTCATTGGCCAAGTGATTTTGGGGGGTGGCTTCATCTCCGGGTTGTATGTGCCAGGGCTAGAAATAAAAATTTAAGCATCATGTGTAATAACTTAGTGACCATATACGAACTCCATCAGTACCACAGCTATCCCTGAACTTGGCCTAATTCTTTCAGGAAAGTCAACAGGCCAATTAGCTTTCTAACGTGGGACAACTGTGGGGTTTCCTTGCCTTTTAATGTATTTCCGATTAGCTGTGAGTGTTACAGATATTTTGTCTTGGGACGCCTGGGTGGCTCAGTCAGTTAAGCTCTGCCTTTGGCTCATGTCATGATCCCAGGGTCCTGGGACTGAGCTCCACACTGGGTTCCTTGCTCAGAGAGGAACCTGCTTCTCTTTCTCCTTCTCCCACTCTCCTTCTCCCACTCCCCTCCCTTTATCTATCTCTCTCAAATAAATAACATTTAAAAAATAAATATATCTAGTCTTGACATCCCAGTTAAGATTAAAATCGATTCTAGTTTGAAAAATATTTCTGCAACCCAGTATCCTTGGCTGAGATCCCAGGACGGGTGGGTGAGGAAAGAGTCTACCACCATCATGAGTAAGTACTGTCCGTGATTTGAAACTGGGAGTAAGAGAGTGATGATTATTCAATCAGCAATCTCAGGATAAGGAGGCAGAACCGTTAAAGTTTGACTGAGGTGGCATTATATTATAGTTGCCTTTGTTCATAACACTTGGTCTTTGGTGTAGACTTTTTGCTGTGTTAGAAATAGTACTTAGGGGCACCTAGGTGGCTCAGTTGGTTAAGCAACTGCCTTCGGCTCAGGTCATGATCCCAGGGTCCTGGGATCGAGCCCTTCATGGGGCTCCCTGCTCAGTGGGGAGCCTGCTTCTCCCTCTCCCTCTGCTGCTCTGCCTGCTTGTGTCTCTTGCTCTCTCTGTCAAATAAATAAATAAATAAATCTTAAAAAAAAAAAGAAAGAAATAGTACTTAGAATCAGCACGGGGGCCAATATTCAACACTTCCACTTCCTTAATGCAGCCTGGAGAAAGTTACACTCATTCACTGATCCCTGCATTTCTCATGAACCAAAAAAGACCTTGACTCTGCCCGGCAGTTCCACCCTTGCTGAGTGGCTTCCTGAAACACTGGGTCTACAAGGGCCACGTGCTCAGCCTCCGCCCTCCTGCTCTGTCTTCAGTTCCTCTCTGCTCACCACACTCTAGCCACACCAGCCTCCCCCTTATTCCTCCCACCCATTCTTCCCCAGCTTACAGCCTTTGCACTTGTAGCTCCTCCTTCCTAGGAAGCCCTGGCCAGATCTTCACAGGCTGGCTCAGTCTCGTCATTCAGACTTCAGGCCAAGTGTCATTTCCCCTAAAGACTTTTCTGGACATCCTTGCCAAAGTGGCGCCATCCATCCCATCACCACCACCTTGTTCACTGTCTTCACAGTGCATCACTGGGTCACCACACTGCCCAGTATGCCTGTGACAGTCCTAGCTCATGGCTACTGTCTTGCCATAATTAGTAAGCACATTTTCAGAAGGGTCACTGTCTGACTGCTAAATTATATGGTAACTGTCCTTATTACCACTGATTTTTTTAAGTGTATTTGCTTCTCATCTGTCCAGATTTGGCAGTGTAATTTGCAAGGAATGAGGAGCCTTGTGCGATGGGTTTAATACAAAACCTCTGGATCCCTTGGAAGTGCCTAGCGCATTGATAACTATTGATTGACTGAACCACTAGGATTTAGAATTCTATAATGCCGGAGATCTGGAAGGTCAGAGGTTGGCTCTTTAAAGATGGGTGGGTGGTTTCTTATTCAGAGGCATGGTTTGGATGGAACCCCTCCTTTGTGCATCCTTTCCTATTGCTGTTTGATGAAATGCTCCAGAAGAGAGAAGACATACCCAGGATAAGAATTGTCCTTTGAGTATGTCTTAAATCGAGGCAACGAGGCATTGAATGGAGCAAAATTTTGTTTGTGTATTTGCTCCTGAGGATTTGCAGCCTGGTACATGCCTGGGTAAAGCATCGTGTCCTGTTTGTCAGAAAAAGATAAACATGTTAAGGGTGAGATATATACTTATAAAGGCTCTAATTAAAGAAAACCAACTCATCCTCTTTCTGTTCATGTATCAGCTATAGTTTTACCACCCCAGCTATAGATATAAGGCTACAGTAGGGAGAAAACCAAGATAAACATGGGATTCAGCTATTGAAACAAACATATGCTGAGGCTGTAGAAAGAGATCAGCAGGAGGTAAAGGACCAAAGTGACTTGTTGCAACTGCTGCCCCCACCATCCTACTTGGAGACTCTTTAGAGCCAGTACCCCTCTCTTGGAGCTCCAGTGTCAGAAAAATATCCAACAACTGATTAGGATCCTGTACTGAAGACTTTTAGACTTGAAAACCAAAGGGTTCAAAAGTAGCAATTTGTTTTTTAAGTGGCAAGATAAAAGGATATATAGAAACAAAGCTTTGATACTTGAACATAAGCTGTGTCAGCCCCAAAGAAATGGTCTTGATACCATTTCTTTCAAGAACTGTTTTCCATGCTCCCAGGACTCTCATATACATTTGAGATGCTAACCCCTAAACGTTCCAGATAGATTTCTTCATAGTGTTGGTCTAAATATTTTTCTTGAATTTCAGGGCACATTTTTTGGTAACTTCCCACTCTCCCCGCTTTGCTTCCCAATGCAAATACATGTAGCAACATGGATCACACGAAAATCTAAGCACATTCAAGCCATTTCTAACCTTGTTGATCGCCTTAAACCTCTCAGCTGTTCTGGCACCAAGAGTATATCCTTTTCTACTGGTCGGGATCTTAGAGAGGTTGTATGCCAATCCATATACCTTCAGGTAGTATATTTTAAAAAAGAGAGAAAGAAAGAAAGGAAACACACAGAGAATATTACAGTCATCAAAACAGAATGAACTCAAAATGTTCTTATCTGACTCTTTTGCATAAGTTGCTCTTTCTTTTTTGACTCCTCTGAGTGAAGACCATAGCAACAATTCTATAAGGAAGTCTGCAAAGAAATGTGGCTGCCTAGGCAGAGTAAATGACATTCCTGTGCATTCCAGTGAATCCCGTCCTGTAAGCCCCACAGAGCTGAATTTGCCATAATCCCATCCTCAGTCTGATGGCCTTTCACAAACTGATCTAGCAGCACAGCAACATTCCCAGTTTGGACTAATGGGAGGCATTGGTTCGGAGGCTTCGGAAGGTGAGGATGGAGTGGGGACTATATAGAGGACTATATGAAGAAAGGCTAGAAAGGCTTGCGTTTGGAGGGTGTTGGAAGTGGGGAGCAAGGGTCTTTTAATTTCCTACATTGGCCCTGACAGCTCGCTGCAGAGGACCAGGACACCTTCTCATGTTGCCAGCCCAAAGATCACAAATCCCATTGAATTTTTCTTCCACGGAGCCTGGGTATTCGCAGACAGGACGCTGAGACCCACCCAAGGGAAGGTGTATACTCACATCTTCTGCTATGTAACATCCAGGCCCTCTGTGGGGCGCTCCTCGAAGAGGGAGAAACTTGTTCCCCAACAAGTTTTGGGGGTGGTAAAGAGGAAAGAGCTTCCTCTGTTGACGTGTACCAAAGGGGTAGCTAACCAGCGACTCTGAGGATCAAGAAAGAGCAGAAACTCCACGTGAGGAAGGCCCCTTCGTCTAAGTGAGCGCCCTGTGGGCACGTAGGTTGTGGGGAGGCCGAGACAGGACTGGGCCCCATCAAGAACAAAAACCCGACCGAACCCCGTGGAAGGTACGACTGCGTCCCCCCGCCCTCCAGCCTCCCCACTCTTCCTCCTGCCCTCTACCCTTGATTCCTCCACCTCAGCCCCGCGCACCCGCTTTGCCGAAACACATCGCGCGTGTGGCCGGGCTTGCAATTGTGTACCGCGTTGCTAAGGGAACGCAGGGGAACACAAGGGGAGTGGCTCCGCGCGCGCCTGCAGTGGGAGGGGTCTCCGGCCGGGCTGAGTCCGCGGCGGAGAGCAGTGTGGCCTGTGGTTAGGCACAGGTGGAGGCTTTGCTGGACCCGCGGCTACGGCGGCTTCGCCGGTGAGGGATTAAGCAGAAGGGCTGGGACACCGGGAATGCGCTGCTGAATTGGGACACTGGGTTCAGAATGCCCCGAAATCTGGACTGCCAGGATCAAGGACCTGGGAAAACAGAGCCCCTGCAGTGGTGGCGGGTGGGGTGGGCTCCCAGGACAACGCCTGCAGCAGGGGAAATGGGGACTAAGTGGAGCTTAGCCCAGACAATTCCCCTATAAGGCCCCTCTTAGACCAATTTTTCTGCAGGTTGCCCCCTTCAATCTCTAAACGTGGCACGCACGAGGCTTTTATTTATTTTTAATATTATACTGACGCGGAGGGCAAAAGCGGGGGGAGTAGCAGGGAGAGTGAGGAGCAGGCTCATCGAGGAGCCCGATGCGGGGCTCAATCCCAGGACTCTGGGATCATGACCTAAGCCAACACCTAAGGACTTAGCCACCCAGGCACCCCAGGCACAAGCCTTATTTATTTATTTATTTATTTATTTATTTATTTATTTTTAATTTTATTTTTTAAATCATTTTTTAATTTATTTTCAGCATAACAGTATTCATTGTTTTTGTACCACACCCAGTGCTCCATGCAGTCTGTGCCCTCTCTAATACCCACCACCTGGTTCCCCCAACCTCCCACCCCCCCACCTCTTCAAACCCTTCAGATTCTTTTTCAGAGTCCATAGTCTCTCATGGTTCACCTCCCCTTCCAATTTCCCCCAAATGCCTTCTCCTAACTCCCCATGTCCTCCATGCTATTTGTTATGCTCCACAAATAAGTGAAACCATATGATAATTGACTCTCTCTGCTTGACTTATTTCACTCAGCATAATCTCTTCCAGTCCCGTCCATGTTGCTACAAAAGTTGGGTATTCATCCTTTCTGATGGAGGCATAATACTCCATAGTGTATATGGACCACATCATCTTTATCCATTCGTCTGTTGAAGGGCATCTTGGTTCTTTCCACAGTTTGGCAACCGTGGCCATTGCTGCTATAAACATTGGGGTACAGATGGCCTTTCTTTTCACTATATCTGTATCTTTGGGGTAAACACCCAGTAGTGCAATTGCAGGGCTTATTTAAAAGAGTTGGAAGCCTTGAGTAGAGCAGGGACTGCAGAGGAGTCACAGAAGTGCTTAATAGTTGTAAAAATCTTGGGCAGTCACTTAAATGTTTAAGTCCCAGTTTTCTCATCTCCAAATTGGGAATAATAATTCCTCTTTATTGGGTAAGGGCAGGATTGAGAGAACATGATGAGAGCAATCAGGAAGGTGACAATTCCAAGTACTTTTTTTTTTTTTAGTGTGTGTGTCTATATGGGTTTTTATTCGTCTATTTAAAAAAAATTTTATTAACATATAATGTATTATTAGCCCCAGGAGGCAAGTAGTTATTCTTAAGATGGTACTCAGCCTCCTTAGGAACACTCCCATCCTAACCCAAGAAGAAAGGTCACGGTGTATGTTGACTTCTTTACCTTCTTTACATTTACCTGTCCTGGATATTAACACCAATCTGTTTTCTCTTGAGTTTTGGATGGCTTTAGGAATTATCAGAGGTGGGAGGAAGCAGACCTACAGTGTGATTGGTCCATGTTACCCTTTGGGCTCTAAAGATGACCTTGGGATCCACACACACCTGGCTTAGAACTGTCCACAGGGATGATTTCATACATTTAATGTAGGGTTTCCAAAAAAGGTGATACTGAGTCCTACAGGATATTTTGGAAACTTGAGGAAGCCTTTTGCTTGTTGAAAATTACTAAGTGGGGGACGCCTGGGTGGTTCAGTGGGTTAAGCCTCTGCCTTCGGCTTAGGTCATGATCTCGGGGTCCTGGGATCAAGCTCCACATCTGGCTCTCTGCTCAACAGGAAACCTGCTCCCCCCCCCACCCCCCTCCCGCCTACTTGTGATCTCTCTCTGTCAAATAAATAAATAAAATCTTTTAAAAAATTACCAAGGGAATGCTCCTGGTGACTGCGCCAGGGAGGCCAGACACCTGCAGCTCATTGTCCCATCACACAGTGCATTGTCACGTGTCCTACATAACATTCATATGTCCTGCTGGACTTTAAAAAAATAATTCATTGTACCTGACTTATAGGTAATGACACCGAGAAATTTTTTTTACAAGAAATAATGCATAAAGCCTAGTAACATAGGAGAAGATTGTGTGAGAAACAAAGCTTATAAATGGAATAAGGATACAGTCTCAAAAGTATTGTATAATTTGCTCTAAGCATTCTGTCTACTCAAAATACTCAAAATAAAATTGCAGTAAAACTGATGACAAAGAAAATATTAAAATACTGGTATTGATTTGACAATTTTCTCTTTCATTAATATTTCAGGTAATAGTAATATTTCTAGACACCCACTGTGCGTTTTGAAATTACTGTTTACATTATCAGTGACATGAAACACGTCTTGCAAAATACTTTGATATGATGGCACCTAATTTCCTCCATTGATGGGCTAGATTGCTTCAGACTAATCCTACAGCTGAGAAGAGCTAGAAAAGCTGGACAAAATAAAATACGTATGTTTGGAGACATCAGAGATTTACCATGGAAGAAAGAATAGACAGGGCCAAGAATGCAGAGAGAGGGGAAGCCCAAAACTGTGAGCCACAGTGGGTGCTCCTGTTCTCTTTGAACATCTGCTAATCAAAGAGTGGCTGAGAAGCAGAGAATTTGCGTGGAACTTTGGACATGTGTGTCTCTGAAAACTGGGGATCAAAAATTAGGTTGGCCATGGAGGATGGGAGATTGGAAAACACCCTGGGTTTTTAATTGGGGCCCAAAAGGGATAAACTCTAGGAATAAGGGTAAATAAGAAATAAACTGACTCTCAAAAAAGAAAAAAAATCTTGAAATCCACCTTTGTATCTACATAGTCTCCAACTGTATTAAAGTGATCTGCTTCTACCCTTACTATACACCAGAAAAAAAAAGTAAATAGTCTCTGAATATAACATCATCCAAAGCTTCAACTAATTTTTACAGTTTTTCATGAAAAATATTTGGCATTTAATATAAAATAGCACTCACACCAAAAAAAAAAAAAGAATGGAAATAAACCCAAAGGAAATCTAGAGATTAGAGTTATTAAACATGGACTTTAAAGTAACTGTACTTGGCTCCAATTTTGGAGGAAGCTTCCAGACTGCAGGGTAAACATGGGAAGCAAGAGAAAGCAAGGAATTTGTGGCCATCAATCAAATCCTTGGCTTCTGAGGTAAGAGGCTAAAAGAAAAGGTGATCAGATCCTAAAGACAAAGTCAGTAAAGGTCCCAGTGTATTAAAGAAAGAGAAATTTCCTCCATCAGTCTTCCTGTTCATGTTACTAATATAACACACCACTGGGTCCACCAACATCCCAATTGATGCAAATTATCAACGTGTCATTAAAGCCAATCCAAACATACTACAAAGATGGACTGTCCGTATGCTACATGTATCTCTTGTATAAGCATTGTGTAATGGTGAAATTGAGGAGTTAAGGCAGAACCTTAGGCAGCTCTAAGGATTAGCAAGGATTCGATGTCTGAATGATGCTCACACACAAAGGAAACTATGCAGGTGATGGTCTAGTACCAGAGAATGTTTAGACTAAGTTTTATATTGGGGCCACTATTGATGAAGACCTGAAGAACTTTGCAGTTCCCATCATGTACATTTCTAACCATAGTTGTAACATCAGAAGGATGCCTGATATTTATGGAGATTGTTTTAGTTTTATGAGACAGCTTATCAGCTCTCATCATTTGACTACATATGGGGCCATTATAAGAATTATTTTTCTGGGGTCCCCTGGGTGGATCAGTTGGTTAGGTGTCTGTCTTTAGCTCAGGTCAAGATCCCAGGGTCTGGCTCCCTGTTCAGTGGGGAATCTGCTTCTCCCTCTCCCTCTGCACACCCGCCCCCCACCTGTCTTGTGCTCTCTTCCTCATGCTCCCTCTCCAATAAATAAATAAAATCTTATGAAAAATAAAAAAAATTATCCTGGGAAACCACCCACTCTGTTGTAGTGGTCTAATGGAATGGGATAAATAGATTTTATTTTTGACATCATGTTTTATATAGATTTTTGTCTCATTTAAAAATTTATTGAATTAAGTAATAAATCACTTCAGCAAAGGGGAGAACGCTGGTAATTCAAGAAATTAAATGATAAGTTGGAAAACTTTAGAAACAATAAAAAGGAACCAAATAAAAATTGTACAAATAAAAAGTGCCATCTCTGAAAGTAAGAACGCAAGGCACGAGTTTACCAGCAGGTTGTAAAAGCTGAAAAAGAGATTATGCTGAGTGAAATAAGTCAAGCAGAGAGAGTCAATTATCATATGGTTTCACTTATTTGTGGAACATAACAAATAACATGGAGGACAAGGGGAGTTAGAGAGGAGAAGGGAGTTGGGGGAAATTGGAAGGGGAGGTGAACCATGAGAGACTATGGACTCTGAAAAACAATCTGAAGGGGTTGAAGGGGCGGGGGGTGGGAGGTTGGGGGAACCAGGTGGTGGGTATTGGAGAGGACACGGATTGCATAGAGCACTGGGTGTGGTGCAAAAACAATGAATACTGTTACACTGAAAAGAAATTTAAAAAAATAAAAATAAAAAAAAGAGAAGGAATTGGAAACTGAATCAGAAGAAAATATTCAGACTTGAATCTTGGAGATGCAAAAGGACAGAGAATACAGGGTAAAAAGCATGAGAGACAGATGAGAAACAATGAAAAGTTCCAATTACATGCAGATTTTTTATAGTACAGCATTGTAAATATATTTTCTCTTATGATTTTCTTAACAACATTTTATTTTCTCTAGCTTGCTTTATGGTAAGAATATACTGTATAAGGCATATAACATACAAAATACATGTTAATCAGCACTTTGGGTTATTTGTAGGGTTTCTTATCAATAGTAGACTATTAGCTTTGGGGGAATCAAAAGTTATATGTAGATTTTTAACCACGCAGGGAGTAATCACTCTTAACTTCATGTGTTCAAAGGTCAACTGGATGTGTCATGTGTGTGTGTGTGTGTGTGTGTGTGTAGAGAGAGAGAAAGAGGACAGAGAGAGAAGTAACATCTAACAAAGAATTAGGGTAAATAGGTAAGAGAATTCTTTGTACTGTTTTTACAACTTTTCTTTAGGCTTGAAAATATTTCAAAGTAATAATTATAAAAATAGATACCCTTAGAAAAGTGAGAAAGTAAGCCAAGATGTTGAGGAAAACATAAGCACAAAAGCATCAAGACTTGCAGTGTCCATCCAATGCATAAGCCACTGCCCATATTAACTCTTGGGCACTTGAAATGTGGTTAATCTATTATTTATTTATTTATTTGACAGAGAGGGAGAGAGCACAAGCAAGGGCAGCAGTAGTCAGAGGGAAAAGCAGGCTCCCCAGTGAGCAGGGAGCCTGATGTTGGACTCCATCCCAGGGGCCTGGGATCATTCCCTGAACTGAAGGCAGACGCTTAATCAACTGAGCCACCCAGGTATCCAGAAATGTGGTTAATTTAAATTGAGATTTGTATGAATGTAAAGTACACATCAGAATTTAAAGACTTAGAATGAAAAAAAAGAGTACAAAATATTGCGTTAATAAATTTTATATTGGTTACATGTTGAAATGATAATATTTTGGATATATCAGATTAGATAAAACAGTAGTAAAATTAACTTCACATGTTTCTTTTTACCTTTTTAATGTGGTTGTTAGAAATTTAAAACTAAACACGTTGCTCACATTATATTGCTATTGGGTAGTGTTGATCTAGGATATATAAAACAACAATTACAGATCAATAAGAAAAAACAATTTAATAAAAAACTGGTAAAATACTTGAATGGGAAACTCAAAAAGAAGAATATACAAATAACCAGTAAGCGTATAACAAGTGCTGAACTTCAGTAGTCATAAAAGAGTTAGAAATTTAAACCACAATGAGCTACCCACAAGATGGATAAAATAATAAAGACAGTTAACACTTGGTGCTGCTAGGATGTGAAACAGCTGGAAATCTTGAATGCGCTCCTAGTGTAAATGGAAACTGATGGATTCGCCTTGGAAAACTGTTTGGCAGTATTTACTAAAGCTGAAGTAGACATCCCTAGGATCTAATAATTCCAGCTCCTTGGTATTTAGTCAGCAGGAACTCATACAACTGTGCACAAAAAGGCATATATAAGAACATTAAATACAACGTGATCCATAACTGTCCCAAACTGAAACAACTAGATGCCCATTAATGGTAGAATGGAAAAACAAGTTGTGGAATACTCATATAAAGGAATATTATATAGCAATGAATAGGAAAAATCCTGCACATGCAACAATTTAGCTCAATCTCACAGTGTTGAATGAAATAATTTAGACATTTACATACTGCATGAGTACATTTACATATATCCAAAAATGGGCAAAACTAATTTATGTATTAGAAGTTGAGTGGGGATACTTTTTAAGGAGGGTGGAAACAGTAAAAGGGAAGGGACAGGAGAAGGGCTTTAGGAGAGATAGTGGTGTTCCATTTCTTGGACTGGGTATACTGTTTACCCTGAGGAGTTCGCTTTGCATATTTCCTTAATCTGTTCAGTTATGATTTGGGCCTTTTTTGGTGTGCATGGTAGACCAATAAAATATTTTTAAAAATCTGACAATCCTAGAGGAAGCACATTAACATTTGAAAAATAACATAGGCATACTCCTTTTCCTTTTTTTTTTTTTTTTACTTTACTGGTTTACAATTAGTTGTGTATTATCCCTACTTTACCTAAAGTTATTCACCTCTTTTTGTTATCAGGAAACAGTAAGTCTGGAGTGTTATTAATTTTCTGAAACTGGTCTTTGTTCTGATGTCCACTTATAAGTCTGCTTTTTTTATTTTCCTAAACCACTTGTATGAGATGACATTTAGCCTTCTTAATGCTAGGCTTATTCATTGTTTATTATATGGTGCAAAAGTCTGACTATTTCCTTGTCTTATAAAGTAGTCCCATCTGGGCATTTATATGTTGAAATGCATATTATTTTATTAGAAATTACTTTTCTCCTTTACAATTATGGCATTATTTATGAAATTATGCATGACAGGTTATGTTATCCATGAATTTAATTAGGATAATAAAAGGGACATTACCAAATAATGTGTTACTCAAAGTAGGACTTGGTTTTGGATTATTTTAGGATTCAGAACCTCTGATCTAGAGAATAGGGGTTCTGCTGGAGAATAGATGTGTCTTCAGAAGGTGGAAGAAGGAGAGGAACATAGACTTTCTAAATCCCACTTTCCAGACTTAAGTACCAGCCTCTCTCATCTGGTCGTAGAGGAATGAACACAGGCTTTGAAGGCCCTCAGAACTGGTTTCCAACAGGTACTGGTGTGTCATTTACTAGCTACATGACTTTGTGGAAGCTACTTAGCCTTGATTCATCTATAGAAAGGCACTAATTATTTCCTGCCTCCTTAGGGCTGCCATGGGAATTGAAAGAGGTAACACCAGACAAATCTTACACAGCAAATGACGAGCCTATATTGGCATTTAACATAAGTTAATGCACTTCTGGTCTACCATCTCCATGCCCAGAGCCACAGGTAAATCCCAGAGCACCTCTGTGCAAAATAATAAATAAATAAAATAAAAAATTGCCCTTTCATCTGTATAGGTGCCGTGCCACATGTTATCAAGGCTCAGGATTTGGTAAGAAGAGCACTTCCCCCTGCCCTGCCTGGATCAGGGCTTTTATGAAATCCTGAGCATACCCCCTCTCTTTCCAGTTAGACTCCCATGTGGAAGGAATGCGTTTTCATAGATGTACAGGAGTTTAAGAACATGATTACCTTCAACAAGCTTCCAAAGATCTGGATGGGTGATCCATGGCAGGATTTTGTCATTCATGTACTCAAATGGATCAGATGGCTTGGACTTTGAAGATCTCCAAGAAGCTTTGTACCCAATGTCCCCATTGGAGGGCCTTTGAACCGAGCTGTGTCCTTCATTTAACAATGGCTCCATGAGTCACCACTCTCATAAACAGACTTTAACCAAGAAGATGAAGGGTGTAACTCAGACTGGCTGCTAAGCAGTAGCCCCACCCTTGAAGTCCTCCAGGTCATTGTGACATTGCTCTCTGAAGGGCAGCATTAGGGTGAGAAGGAAGCCAGAAAGCTCCCTCTTTGAAAATCAGTTCTAATTATCTACTGCATAATTTAGGACAACGTTTTCTCACAAGATCTCAATTCCCTCACCTATAATGTGGGGACAATAGTCACCACACAGGAGAGAGCCTATATAAAATACCTAGTCTCATGCTTGGAATACTCTCCTTGTTAGTTCCTGTCTCCCTTCCTGCCCTCACCGATTTATTTATTTAACAAGTACGTATGAAACTCTTGTAATATGCCGGGCACCACTCTAGGCAATGGGAACGTAGCAGTAAACGGAAATTCTTATCCTCACAGAGGTTAATTCTACTGAAGGAGGCAGACAATAAAAATGGTAAATATGTAAATTGTATAATATGGCAGGTACCAAGAGAAAAGAAGCACAGGAAGGGCAGAAAGAATAAGGTTTCAATTTTAGGCTGTGCAGCCAGGAATGGCTTCACTGAGAAGTTGGCTTTGAGGAAGGGCCTGAAGAAAGTGAGGTCAAAAGTCAAATGGAAATCTGAGGAGGGTGTTGTAGCTTGTACAAAGGCCCGGAGGCAGTAACATGCCTGGACTATTTGATAAACAGAAAAGAGGCTAACATAGTTGAAGTGGAGGGAATGAGAAGAGTCAAAGGAGGTGACAAGAAAGCCTTCACGGATCTAGAGTTGGGTGGTGCCTGTCCACTTCTTGCATGTAGTAGATATGTGGTAAACATTCATTTGATTGGCTCATTAATATGGAAAAGTAGCTGGAAAAATGAGGGACACCATTTTTTTAGGCTACAGTAATTTCTGTATTCTAGAAATGGTGACAGAATCAATTTTAATGGGAAAATAATGATAACAGAAGAAGGTGTTAGTCTGGGAAACCACTTTGATTCAGCAGCTGGCCACTGTGTTGTTCAAAGATGCTTTTCCTCAGAGTCAATGGCCTCTTTCATGGCCTTCACCAAGTCCAGTTCCCCGCATCCTCATGTCCCCTCCTCAGTGTTATTTGCCATAGTAGTGACCTAAACAGAAACTTCTTCCAAAAAGTAAGCCCAAATTTCTATGCTCTTCTTACTCTAGGCTTTCTTGTTCTTTGGTTAGAAATGTAATTATATTAATAATAATACCGAATTTTATTGACTTTTGCTTTTACCTACTTATTGAGGACACTCCCATATCTGTTTTTGATCTCCAAGATATGTCACGTGAGCTCTCAAAAGTCAGTACATCAGCTACAATCACGAGTGCAATTTTCCCATGTTCTGTAACCCTATTCCAGCCCTGTCTTCTCCATGGTGAATTTAGATGTCACCACCTCTCCATCCCTGCTATAAACTTTTTTTTATAGCTTAATTGCAATAAAATACAAACTTGTAACCATGTTTCAAGACCTTGCGTCATCTGACCCCTCCTATTTCTTTCCTGTGTCCGCTACCTCAGTGCAGCCCTGCTCTTCTTTGTTCTAATCTGCCATATTCATTTCCAGCTCTAGGACTCTGTTGTTGCTGCACCTGTGCCCAAAATGCCCTCTTCCCAAATCTCAAAATGACTGGTTCTTCTCGAATGTCAAGGCTCATCTCATTTGGGACCTCCCCACAGAGGATTTCCTTTTTTTTTTTTTTAATTATTTATTGGGGGGGCCGAGGAGGGGCAGGGGGAGAGGTTGAGAGGATCTCAAGCAGACTCCAAGCCTGAAACAGGGCTTGATCTCACGACCTGAGCCAGAACCAAGAGTCGGACACTTGCCCGACTGCACAGAGGCCTTCCTGGGCTGCCCAAACTAAAGTACATTCATCTCCTTGTCACTTGCTATCACTGTTACACTTTTTTTTCATTTCTTTGTTTGCCTAACACTCTCACCATCAAAATATAACTACCAGAAGGGTGGAGTCTTTATCTTATCTACCACTATGCCTTTAGTACCAAGAATATTATCTGGCACATAATAATCACTAAGTGTGGTGAATTCATGAATATGTCACCATTACCCAGAAAGCGGCCTGTGTCTTATCATTATCCCCAAAGTGGCCATCTGCTGTGTAAACACGGATGTCTGTATCAAGGGAGGTGACGGAGCATCGTAGTTAGGACTGTGAGCTCTGGAGCCAGCCTGCCTGGCTTGGGATCTGGCTCTGCCACTTATTAGCTGGGTGATCTTGGGCAGGTGACCTAATTCCTCTGTGCCTCAGTTTCCTGGAATCAATGTTATCTTCCTTACAAGGTTGCCAGGAGAATTAAATAATAAAATACATGTAAAACGCCTAGAACAGAGTTTGACATACGCTAAGCCTGCCAGTTTTTAAGAGCCATTATATTAGTTAGGATTCTGCTAGTTGCAATAAAAGCAAACTTAAGCCAGCTGAAGTAGCAAAGAGGAATGTATTGTATAGGTATAGGTGTGTTTCACAGAGCCCAAATGCAGAAATGCATCTGGGTCTCAGGAAGGAGCTGGAATCTAACGGTGGACAGCTGTCAGTAAGTGTCCTCCGTCTCTTGTGGTGGCTTTTCTCTGTAGCTCCCCTTTTCTCTTCTTGCTCTGGATCCAGAGCAACTGCCCTTCTCCACAGTCTCACTACAGCTCTTGAGTTTAAATATCTCAGGGCAAGCCACTCTGGGGTATGACAGCCACTCTGTGTTGTCTGTTGCAGATTTCACGGCTTGATGATCTGATTAGCGCTCTTGAGTCTGACGTTCATCCTAGTCAATCAGCCAAGCCAGGGGAGGAGAAGATGCAGTAAGGCACGGCAGCCAGGGACCACAGCCATGGCTTCAAAGAAGAGGACAATCTCCTGATAGAGGAACACTGCTGGTCCACAGGCTGGGCAGACATCCCCAAAGGGGTCCACGGCACAGATCTTCACAGCACCTGGTCTAGGAGGCACCGGACCAGCTTTGGGATCTCAGCAGATAGGGACAGAATGCCCTGCGCTGCTTCTTTTTGAGGAAGCCACACAGGCCTGTACCCATGTGTACCACGGAATCACTCTGGCTCTTTCCTGAGGACAGTCACCAGGCTACAGACCTGTCTTCTTCATGTCTTCATCCCATCCCAGCACCAAACATTCAAGCATCTCCTCCTGACAGCCTCTAACCCTCATGCAGAAGGCAAATGGATGCAACCTAGGCAAACAGAAGATGGCAGGCTTGCTGGCTCCCTCACTTCCTCACACACTCCCCCTTTGGCCACCCTCTGCCCCTGAGCAACTTGTATTTTCACATCTAGAAAGCTTCCCCTCCCACCCCCCAGCAATCACTTACAACCAAAAAGACTCATGTTTAGACTGACGGCTTTTATTGTAGAACTGTAGGTAGGAGCAAGATGTACTAAATGAGGAAACTCGGGAATGCAGACAGGTCAGGTTCGCCCCCAGTTGCAGCAGTCACAGCTGGTGTCAAAGATGAGCCCAGCCTCAAAGTTCTGCTGGTACGTGACTCCATTCAGGCAGTGCTGGAAGGCATTTTTGTTATTCGCCACGGGGTAGAGGCCGTTGGCCTTTCCGGCACAGAATCCACTGCCCCCAGAACTGCCCCCAGAGCTGCTGCTGCCGCTCCCACTTTCGCTCCTGGGAGGAGTTTTGGGCTCCATGGGCTGAGCAGGGGCAGTGCAACCTAAAACAGCATAGAACAGTAGAACAGACTTGTGGACCTGGAAGAGGTTCCCACCGTCGCCTAGAGGCGAGGAGACTAGTGGCCCTGAGGAGAACGTCTGGAGGTGGGGTGCTGTTAGCACTGGCTCCCTACAAGTGAGGAGATACAAGATTACTCCATACTCAGGAAAAACTACATTTTCAAGCCATTCTAGTTTTAAATCTGAAAAGTTCTCTCTTCCCTTAAGATGTTAACATCATTAAAAAAAAATTACTGAGCACTGCTATGTGCAAAATACTTGCCTAGGATCTGGGTATAAGTGGCAAGCTAATAAGCTTAGAGATTATTCCAAAGAAAAATCTGGAAAAAATTTAGGGATGTGGTATTTTCCCTGAACTACAGATTAGAAACATGTGAGCAATCCTGAGGGTTTCTTGTTCAGTCTCCAGGTGGGCCGAAAAAGACTTTTAATGAGGGAGGAGTTCATAGAAAAGTAAATGCTTATATATTGAAGGTCATCTGAATTTCTTGGGGCTTTTCCACAGACTTTGAGACTTAGCTGACATGGAAAACTCACCCAGATAGGCCTGGTTTCTTATAAGCTCATAACATGCCTGACCTGGAAGTTCAAGGGTAGAGGAAGAATGGAGCCCGTGTGTCTCAGCTGGGCAAGAGCAGGGAGGTGAAATGGGAAGTGACTCCCAGGCCAGTGGGGGTGGACAGATGTTAGATTTGCCTTTTAAGCTGGAGAAGCAACAATTGTATACCCCTGGCATCCTTCTTGTTCACTTACCTGCACTCTGCAGCCCAAGTGCTTTCTTCAGGGTGTTGACCAGGGGGAGCTTGCCCTAGTTACAGAACGTGTCTGTGAAGTCATCCAGGTCAATGGCCCAGACCATGGCACCTCCAAAATTGTTCTCCTTAAGCCACTGAGCCTGTTCAAGGATAGAGGACACCAGAGGTCATTTTACTTCCCCAGACTCACGGCTGGGCCTGAAGCAGGTCGGAGGGGCTGACCTTACCTTGACACTGAGGCTCTTGACGTCATCATAGTCAACCCACTCACTGCCCTGATAGGCATAGGGCACAGCCTGAGGAGCATCCCACACCTCAGTAGTTCCATTTTTCAGGAAGGTACAGGTCTTTAAAAAGTCAAGAAATTCAAATCTTTTAAATAAGATTCCCATGAAAGGAGAAACAAACACTTGCCTATTTTATTTTTTTTCTTTTATGTCTCCAATTGGGATTTTCCTGTTTTCTAATTATGGGTTGTTATTTGAAGTAAATAATACG